TTTTACCTATTTTAATCTGTCACTACTGTGTTTCATCAAGGCTTTTACTATCAACTGTCTTCAGCTCAAGGCTTAGCATTGAACCGCCAGGCACTGAAAGCAGACAGGTGGAAGTTTTAATCGGTTTTCTTCTTGAGTTCTTTAGGATCTAGTTGTGAATGTCTAGATTCTCGAAAATGTTTGTTTTTGTATCTCAAAAGTAAATGAATGCAAACTTTTATCAGTGAAACCTTTATAACTTTTTGGACTTTCAACTAAAGCCTTTAAAAACAACACAAAAAAAATGGGATGAATCTCTTTTAAATATTATAATATACTTAAAGCATTTCTTATCATAATGCTGCTTGTTGTGGCTCACAGATATTGAAAGCCTGACAATAAAATACTATGTAATAAAAAGAAAAGTCCAAAAAAGTTGTGTTATGGTATGGCCTATCATTGGGGACTATTGGATTTGGAAAAGTAATAAAGTGTGCAGAAACAATGGAGGGGCACAGAATTTATGTTCCTCGAGGTCCAGTGGGATATTTCTACAGTCAGTGATAATTTGGGCGTTCAATGTCAAGTGCTGATGTTGATCCACAAGGAAAGTCTTGTATACTTTATGCTTTCACTGCTGGTGTGATTTTTGATTTTATTCAGTGCTTGTTGTAGTTTTTCTGTTAAGAAAAAAAAAATGCTAACAGAAAAATGATTGTTAAATTATTAGTATGATATCAAACTTTGTGAGATTTGTAAATAGATTTTCACTAACTTCCCAAAGCTTTTTCCTTTTTAAACTTTGGCATTGATTTCTCTGAGTGCTGATGTTCAGGACCACATTGACAGTTAAAGCTTCTTCAAAAGCAGATTTGTGAAAGAATTTGGAACGTTATTCTTTGATGTATGCTGCATGTTTTCTTTTATATATTCTGCCTTTGAAGTTATGAAGGATATATTTGAAACTTAAGGTAAATCCTGGTGAAATAGAATTCAAGTAAAACAAGGACTTTGATTCCTCGGTTACGTTTGCATTCCACATAGCATTTTGTTTAGAAATATTTATTTGATTATTTGATGTGGAGGATTCTATATATTTTTTAAGCCTACACTCTTGCTGTCTCTGCTAGATCACTAATGCACATTGATATACTTACTACCTGATGTTGGTTACAGTACTGTAGCTCCTTAGATTAACTGTCTTAGATTGTGTTTAAGGATATATATAAATATATATAGGATAGAACTTGCAAAATTGGTTTCCTTTCATTGGTTTTACTTTCCTCTTATCACGCATTGTATCTTGCAATTTTAATGTTTCTTTTTTATTTTTTGATCTCAAACTCTGCCTCTGCTTTTTAAATTATCTCTATGGGAGGTTTTCTCTAAAAATCCTAACCTGTTTAAACCTTTGCAGGCTGAGATTTTCTCATGTTGACATTTCCGCAATGCAGTCCCTCTTACTACATATTGTATCCTAAAATGTTTCACCTTCTTCATATCTATAGTGTTGGCCTATAAATTATATGATATGTTAAAATAATTATTGTTATATTATCTTGCTCCACTCAGACCAGTGCATATTTCAGATCTCAACTGCTAATTCTGATTTTGATCAATACTGCTGTTTATTTCCACCCTAGAGGCTTTAACTCAAAAAGAAGTAATCTTCTGCTCTCTCGTTGATAGAGAAGGTAGTTTTAAACAAACATTGAATGAGAATATCACAAAACTGTGCCCATGTATGCATCAAAGTATGTAACCTTTATCCTATTTTAATTGCACTGGATTGGAGTATGTCTACGTGTAATAATGCAGGATTTAGTCTTGGCTGAAAAATGCCAAAAACAAATGAGCTGTATATGAAGTCAGTATAGCTTCTCTTTTCGTCCTTTTATCTTTCTGCAATGTTGTTGCGTATGGTTTAATTTTAGTGCCTTCTGTGCAACAACCGTGCAACCCTCTGATTGTTCCTATTTTAGCTTCATCACACTTAACATTCCCTCATAATGCTCATTTCCTTCTTAATATAAAAGATCACAGTTTGCTTAATAAAAAAACGTCATCTACTGTATAAAACTAATGGATATGTAAGAGGAGGTAAAGTATCCCAGGAGCTGTGCATAAACAGTTGTCGTTATGCACATATATGGGCAAACATCTTTCTAACCCTTAGCAGTTAAAGCATCACTTGAAAATGCTTCTCAGAGGCTGAAGGCAGAAAATTGAATGGCTACGCATTGCTGTACGGATTTACGACTTACTGGTGATCCCACTGGTCAGTGCACCATGTAAAAAGGTCGCAGTGCGTTTAAAACTATTGAGCATCAATCAAATGGGAAGGGAAGGTAGATTTAGAATTTTACTCTTAAAGTAAAAATGAACAAATAGGAACATTGGGGTCTAAAAATAAAAAAAGCAAAATAAATAAAGAGTTTGCTTGCACTGGATCACAGTCAATCTTATTGAAAGAGAAGGCTGTTCAGTAGAATTTTTATATTTCCTTGAGTACGGAGCTGTATTTATGGTGTGTTTATCATAGTGAGAACAGCCATACTATTCTAAAAAGTATTTAGGTTTTATGTAGGACTGTAATGTTTGAAAGCTTGCTCGCTCTGAGAGTTACTTTCATGGATGGTATAGTTTGTGGCTTGCGGCAGTGTACATCATTTTTGTCCTGCATAAAATGCTGATAGTATTCATGGTAAATAGGCTTTTCAAAGGCCAATTACCAGCTGGAGGGGCACTGATACATTTCTGAGACACTGAATTTACTCTGTTTGGAGTTTGGTCACATTGGGTGCTCCTATGAAAGTTGGCTTGTGTGAATAAAACAAATTGTGTTTTCAAACTTACCCTCTGTGTACCTTTGTGCCTCCTTCTCTAATCTGTTCAGTGTATTTCTATAATTTTCTTTTGTCTTGCAGAGCATGAATTTCCATGAGATTTTTGGATCATTGATGGCATTATGTTACACAGCTGTTTCCTTGACATTAGGCTTCATCTAGGCTGGTCCCACTGTTAAACTGCTTTGGTTTTCATAATATAATCGTGCTCTGTGAAAGTGACTTTGATAAAACTGACTGTTAATCATAAATAAATCAGAATAACTCAAAACAAATACAGAATTAAAATGTAAAATAATGATGTCATTATTCAGGAGTATAAACATGATCATCTAAAAAAAGTGACATTGAAAAAGTAGCTGTCAACTGTCAAGTAATGATGACTGGTTTGCTTATCTTTCTTATTTTTAGAATTGTTTTAGATTATTGTGGCTGATCAGTTTTAACCCTAAAAAACGTATAAAGACATTTTATAAACCATTATTGTGATTTTGTTTTATTCCTTTAGAGGTGTATTAACTAGTTTGTTTTATTATTGAAGTTTAGATGCATTAATCTTAGTTATTCTGATTATTTGAAACCATGCTTTATTCAGTATAACCCCTCAAATATTCTTAGACAGCAACAAAATTACTTTTTGTTGTACTGACGATCAATAAAAAATTGGAAACTTTTCATTCAAATTCAACATAAAGCACCATTTGATTGAAAGAATTCTGCATCCTCTTTCTACTCTATAACATCTGTTTATGTGGTTAGGAAGGCCCTTAGTTAACATATTCAAACTATTTTAACTTCTTTTGGTATGCATAATAACTGTTATCATATTGTGTAAATGTCAAATAGCATCTTTATTTTAGAACTTGCATGCATTTGACTTGCTTGCATTTTAATGTATGGTGTGATTGTATTATTTATAGTGCTGCAACTGTCTTGTTTATCGTTCTGTTTTGTTTGTTTTCATCTTTTTTCTCCACCCTAGAAGAAAATTTTATCTTGAGGCGCTTATCCTTTCACATTTGAATAAGAAAATTAAGTGGAGGTTATATAAAATACATGAATCATGCTTTTTTTCCCAAAAAGGGGCTACAAAGATAGACCCAGAGAGAAGGTTTATTCAAATAATCATCAACTGTTTGAACAACCACACTTGCATATAAAAGGTTGCTTTGGTCTCATATCAGCACCACTATTCTTAGATTAGGACATGCATCATTAAAGTTCATGTTCCAGACTAGAAACTGAAGTAATGCAAGCTTGACAAGACATAACTTTGCTCTTAGAGGCTTTTTAAAGCGATGCACTCCTCCATATTTGAATAACTATTCACATCTCAATATAATGACACAGCTGAGACTATGCCTGTCGTGCCCAATTGCCGCTAGCAGCACTAATCCTAATTCATATTTGGCCAATTTAAAAGGCAGTGTCTCATATGGTTAAAAATTGTTTTTATAGACTCAAGTCCAAGTTACAAACACAAGGACTTTTGAATCAACATGGGGCTTTTGTAAAAGATTTTGGAATTGACTGGAATTTGAATCCTTAAAAACTTGCATTAAATAGAAAGTTTGTCTAAAAGGAACCAGCCTGGTCTGCAACAAAGGAATTGTGCTAAGCAGGTGGTCAAAGCTGCATCGTGTTTTCCTGCAATCCCATGTTTATACAGTGCTAGTCAGCTCTAGCTACAGTGGTGTTTACATGTTTTCCTCTGCGGCATTTTTAAATCAAAACAGAAACAAATGTCTGAGACAGATCTTTAATTGCAATCCTAGGGATACTAGCGTGAGAGTTGCCAGCAGCATTAAGGCATTAATGTGTGGCCATTGTGCTGGGAGACGGACCGGCCAGCAAAACAACAGAGGGCAACTTGGATGCTTTCCCTGAAGTCATAATGAAAGTGTTTTTTCCTCCTAAAAATTATTTTAAAACAACAGTTTTAATATCCACCTGTGCCTGTTCTTTGTCTTTTTTTCATTTAGGTTTAATCAACATACTATTAATGAAAAGCTTGTTTCAGTTATTCTGGATGAGATTTAATTGTTATCCATCATATCCACAACCAGTCCAAAGCCAACAATATTGACAAAACACATAGGTCACAATTTATTCTATCACTGTTTTTGTATTTCTTAGTTTGTTCCTGAAACAGTAACACCTTCTGATGTTTCCTAGGTGACTACACTGGTGAACACCAGCAACAAGGGTCCCTCCAGCAAGAAGAAGGGGCGGTCTAAGAAGGCTCACGTGCTGGCAGTGTCTGTGGAGCAGGCCACCCAAAACTTTCTTGAAAAGGGCGAGCAGATTGCCAAAGACAGCCAGGACCTAAAGGAGGAGCTCATTGCTGCAGTGGAGGATGTTCGTAAACAAGGTGTGTTTGCATAGATATTTACTGCAGCTGTTGATGTCTAAGACTAAATATCTGTTTTAAAAGAGCATCATTACATTTTACCTGAAGGCAAATAGAAATGTTTTTATTCTTAACTGTGATTATTTGTTTTGTTCTCAATAAACATTTTAATCTTTAACTTTTATTAAACTTTTTATGAATGATCGCCTTCTAGGTTCCTAAAACCAGTCTTTTTAAACCTACATATTTTTTGTTTTGTTTTTTTTGCTGGACAAAGAAATGAATGACTTACAATTTTCTCCTGAGTATGAAGATGTCTGTAGTTTTGCTCAGATGAGGGAAAAAGTATGAATCTGTATCTGTGATTGAGATAAGTTATTCAAATAAATTTAAATGGATTATCAACCTGGAGAGACTCACAAGGAAACAAAGAGGCAATTAGAGAGTTTATTAACATGAATGAATATAAATATCTTTGCGCTCAGGCCTCAGGAGAAGACATAGAGCTGAGCATTGCTGATGGCAATGGAATGGGCAAATTCCTAAAAACAGGGTTGTCCTCCCCACGGGGCCTGGATGTTAGTGCTGGACTGGGGATAAAGGAAGAGCTGATTGGAGTAAGAGGTAGGCTAAGGTGGTAAATGGGGTGGAGGTGGGTTGCAGCTTGGTTGGAAGGCAGATAGAAACACAAAGCAGAGTCCTGGATGATGTTGGCTGCTGGGGATACTTGAAGAGCAGAAGGTTGGCAGTAATGGATCTGGATAACATGGCAGTCAGGATATGCTGGTAGGGTTTAGCTTGAGGCTTCCAGATTGAAGAGTTTTCCTTGTGACAAACTTTTTCTGGTATGATTTCCCCTCGGATAATAACCGCTGAATATAGTGAGAATTGACATAAAATTCTAATGTTTTGGGAAGGAGCCTGAAAGAAAAAGGATGTCAGAAATGTGAGATTAACTCACAAATTTAGAATAATTTCAGACTGGCACAAACAGAACATTATGTAGCCATTATTTTCACTAAATGCATGCAACCTTATGACTGTACTAGGTCAAGTTCAGGAGCTATAATATTTAAAGCCTCCGTTGTCTGTTGGGAACCTTGCTAAATGTTAAGACTTTATAAATGCATATCTATGTGGAATATAGTCCATTAACAGTCACGATTCTGAACCTAAAAAGCGCTGTCTTCAAAAAGAGCAACAGTAGTTAGGTTTAACAAAGCTCCAACCGTTTGTCTTAACTTAGAGTCATATTTAGAGTTTGAGTATACAATCCTTGTATCAATCTGAACATGATTGTGGTAAATGACCTCATCTTGTTTCAAAATGTTCTATTAGTTGATAACTTTATTATTTCTGCGGCACAAGAAAATCATTGCATCTTTACTGTTCGTTCAAAAGTTCCTTTCCAGAATGGTGATGCATTTACAATAAAGACATTTGAGGTTTTACTGCTGGATTACTAAAGTTGGATTTTCAACACTGTTTGGCTGCTACTGCAGTCCACTGCTGCCTTTAGTGACACATAGGACTTTTGAGGTGTTAATAAGAGAGTCTGTCCTTCAAATCGCAGCACATGCACAGTCAGACCCGTACAGAATTGTAATTGCCTTCAAGTCTGTTAGTGGCTCATTAGACTTCTGTCCTACTAAAATAGTCATCTTATGATAATAAGATGTGTTATTTTAGATTTATGAGGAAACTAAATTCTTGTATCCATATAACGATACAAGGCAGACTCACTGAGGTTTACTCTCTCGGTATAAAAATGTGCACGTGATAAATGGATGTTTACTCAGTAATTTTCCTCTATAGTCAGCAAGCTCTTTCTCTGCTCCTTACCTACTGAGCCAAAATAAATGATATCATACATCATTATTTGTGTGACTGCTTGGCAGAGTGGTGCTGTGGTCAGCGCTATTCTTCAAGAAAAAAGCTTTTTGGTTTGTACATGCTGGCTGCACTTTGGATGCTGGCCTTCGCCGTGGGCTCAACACGTCAGAATCAGGGTGTGAAGATCATGCCATATAAAAACAAAAAAAGGATTTTTATGATAGGAAAGGAAAGTCTCACAGTTTTTATCTCAAGTTTTTTGTCCAAGTGAGTTACGTATGCTGTATAAACTAGGGCTGCAACTATTGATTATTTTGTCAATTAATTCATCTGTCGATTATTTTTTAGATGAATTGATTAATGATCGGGCAGCAAAAGGTTCCTTAAAGAAGATTTTATACAGAATTTAAACCAGGTGAAGCTGAAACTTATCTTTTGACAAAATAATTTTTATTATCATTAATTTGAAAATGTTCCCAATATTTTTTTACAGCTTTAGTATAACTACTGCTTTATGTGGGTTGTTCCCGTTAATTTCATGTTTCCATGCTCCGTGTAACGATTAATTGTTTGTTAAACGAGTTCACAATTATTTAAATAATTGATTAATCATGATTAATCGGATTGATTGTATCAGTCAGAGTGTAAACTCTTATTTTGAAATTAAATGGGGTAATTTTTTGAAGTTGTTATCAGGTATTGGGGAATAATCATTAGGGAATCTCTGCAGCAAGAGTTGGGCTGACTTATAAGTTCAGTTAACTTAAGCATTAAAGCTGATTTCCCTTTTAAACATTTGCTTGCAGCATTTTCATTGTCCAAGAAAAAACAAAACAAAATACAAACCCAGAGTGACAACATATATCTGCTTTAAAAGCTCTGTGAAAATGCTGTGACTGATAAGCAGTAAGCTGCTAATGTTGATAAAATTAGCATCTGATTCAGATGATTCTATGTTGCAACTAAAAGGCTGATTCCAAGTTTGAAGGAATCTGGATATGCATTTTGCAGCCTCAAAATTTGGGAAACTGAAACATCAAACTTAAACCTCATTAAGACCCTTTAAGACAAATGTTCTGAAAGATTTGAAATTGTTTGCACTGAAACCATTTTAAATTGAAAAAAGACAAGGATACAATTATTCCCGACAGATACATTTTAACAACTTTTGCAACTTGTGACACTTTTACCTTTAAAATCTATACATTTAAATTTTTTATTTTGCCAATTGTTCTCTTTAACAAATGAAATATTGCTTGATAAAACACAAAATTCTATTACATGTTTTTAATTTATTACACTTTGTTTTGTTTATTTTGCATCAGCCAGCTACCCAGACTTCAGCAAAATCCTTTAAAAATTTTTTTATCTCATTTTCAGGGCTTGTCAAGCTGATCTCAGTTAACATGATTGACGTGTTCACTTCCCTCTTGTCGAACTCCGTCCCTCTGCTCTTGTTATACAAAGCATACAATTGATCTGTCGACTGTGTTTAATTTTTAAACACAATAGGTGAATAAAGGTTTTCCATGTGCTACAGTTCCTGCTTTCAGAATTGTTCGGTTGGAGATATGGAGAGAGTAAAATATAATCTTAGAAAGGGGTCAATTGTCCCAGGCCCAGGATGAGGGGGCCCAAAATTAACTCACTGACCATTAAAAATACAGGCAGAAGTAACTTTTCAGAAAATATTTGTGATACAAATATTTAATATTAGAGTAATTGCATATATAAATATTTCTGCATTAGGTATATGTAATATGTTTAGATCTCTCCCCACCCAACATAAAATAGTTTGACAAGGACAACGGCAGGCTGCAACTTTTAAAGATTGTTTCGCTGCAAACTAAGAATTTCACGTCTTCAGAAGTTCAGAACACAGATAAAAAAAAAGAGAAAAAGGGAAGATGACACCAAATGCTTGAGATATTTTAAAAGTAAATATTAAAAATAAACTGAGAATGAGTTAGGAACAGGTCCAGGAATGGAATTGCAGAAGAATGATGCCCATTTAGAGCCAGGTAAGAAGCAATGTGTTTTTTAGTGTGGTTTTAAAGTATATCATCCGCTAGCTATTGTAAGGGAAAAACACATTTTATTTTAAAGAAATACTTGAGCCTAGCGTCAAAAGAGCAGAAGGATGGCAGAGGTCCAGGTGAAGTTTGAAAGAGAGTGGGGCAGGAGAGCAAAGTGAGGCGTTGCAGCTTTAAGGGGTGGGGGAGCGAGTGTTTGAGGAGGAGACAGAGAGAGCCGACCCTACCGGTAACACAGTGCAGGTGGAGGGGCCTGCTGCCCAATCGCAGAATCTGAGCATAGTGGCTTGGAAACGGATCACACTGTTAATTTCAATGATCCTGCGCTGTAGTCAACAACAAAGACTGATTTTGATAGAGTGAATGTTTGTAATTGCAAAAAAGGAGCCTTTCTTAGACATGGCTAATAAACTGCCAGCAGATTCAGAGGGCAGACAATCTCCAAAGTATCTAACCTGTTCTACCTCCCACAGTGGAAGGGAAAAAATTGTTAGGGACTGGCTAATATACAGCGGCTCAAGCAAGGCAATATTTTTGCTGTGCTTGCTGTTCCCCTATCAAGAAGAGAAACGATCAACTAGTGCACTAAATTCAATAAATGGGATGAAAATATTCAACATAAAATACAAAAAGTTTTTTGAAAGATTTTCAGGGCATGAAAGAGACTATGCACACAAACACAAAATGGAAGAACATGCTTCATATTTTCAGTAAAATAAAGATAATAAAAAAACTACCTGCACTCCAGGATGTCCCAGGAAAGGTTCAATGGTCTGGCACTGCATCAAAGAGCATCAGCTTGCCAAGAAATTAGACTTTAAAGACATTATAATTGAACTTGCCACTAAAAAAAAGTTCACCGTTTGACATTTGGAGACCAAGTCGAACCACATTTATGAAGTGAAGTCATCTATGACTTCTTTGGAGGACAGTAAATTATTGGCAAAAAGACTGTGTTGTCCCGGGCCCCAGCAAAGCTGTCAGCTGGCCTGGCAGTAGCTATGAACATCTGGTAAAGAGGATGTCAATAATTTGAATTAGGCTCTTTCTGAGTTTCTACATAGATGTTTTATGCTGATGTTGTAACCCTTTTCATATAAATCAATTTAAACATGGCTGGTTGTTATTTAAGTACTGTAATACTGTTTAGTTGCCTTAAATATATTAGAGTATTTCCCTGATCTGCTCAGGCTACATTACTGAGACGTAACTTTAAGCAAATCCACAATTCCATCACAGCAATCGCATCACGACTTACAGTTTTTTCTGATGAGTAGTTTAAATTCAACCAACATGTAGTTATTCAATGAATAAAAATCTATACACCTTCATAGTTTCACCCGGTAGTAAAAGCATTTATGCCGCATTTATACAGCTTTTACTGTATGCCTGTATTAAGTGGGATGTGTTGGCCTAGTGGGCTAGAGCAGTGTGCCTGTGCTCTGAGAAGGTTGCAAGTACCTGGTTTGAATCACACTGCCTCAATTCTGGGTTCCTGAGCAAGACCCTTAACCCCCGATTGCTCCCTGGGTGCAACACAATGGCAGGCCACTGCCCGAAGGGGATGGGTTAAATGCAGAGGTAAATTTCTTCAATTTGAGATCAATAAAGTTCAATTATGATATATTATTTTTCTTTAATGCTATCCTACTGGTCTAATGATTTTATTGACATTTCTAATTTTTCTTATTATGGGATAATTGTGACTTTGGAAGCTTACAGAGTTTTATGTTGGAGCTCAGCTTCTTGTGTGATACACAACAGAGGTTAAACACTTTGTTAGGTAATATAAAAGGTAAAGTACAAGTTTGATGAGTTTGAAACTTTTTTACTGAAGAGAATATAATCTATAATCATTTTGGCAGGAAACTATGATCTATGATTATTGATTTTTGATGTATCAATCTAATGAGAGAATTAAAGAGTGGTTGTGCCAGCAGCATTTCCTTTAATTGAAGATAACACAGAAATAATCATATTTGAAGCCAAGGAAAGGTTAAGAGTCAAATCTCAGCTCCAAGCAGACCTGAACTTTAACAGTCAATTTTAAGTCATCTAAGGACAGTAGTGAGTTTCTCCTATTATCACCGAAAGAACGTATTGAAGATTAAAGAACTGGTGTCTCGGCAGTAGTTAGAAATCTTGTCCATATTTTCTTTTCAGTAGTACTGCTATGGTGTTTGCACAGCTGAAGCAGATGAACCACATATTTCACGTTCTTAGATATTTCACTGGCTTCTTGTCTGTCGCTGAATACAATTTAAAACCCACGTTAGTTGATAATCTGTAACTGGTGAGGCCCAAAAGACATCTCTGATCTGATGGTCCATTATAAACCAGCCAGAACCCTAAGGCTGCCTTTATTCATGGCTTCATTCTGTACCCAGATTTATAACCAAGCACAGTAAGGCAGGATTCATGCTGCTCATTTATGGAACAAAGTTCCTGATTTTCATTGCTACTGGAACTCATTTGCTTAAGGCAAGATTGACATTTTGTTTATAATAAACAACCACAATGCACTATAAACATTATTTATTGTATGTGCTTTTAATATCTATTTTAAGCACTTATTTCATTGCATGTAAATGTTTTCATATATATATATTCCTAACATGTCATGTACGTGACAAATAAACGTGTCTTTCCTTTCAATGATACATTAACGGTTAAAGGACTAACATAACCTCACTTGGTTCACTGTTTTATAAAAAAAAAAGTTGAATTTATACTTTATTATTAATTTACACAATAGCTAAAGGGTTTAACGATGCCTCTTTACCAAATTAATTAAGCTAACACTATTGATCTGTGTGAAAGGGCCTCCGGTGCACCCCTTTCTACTTTTGATGAGTTATTCAGATAAGACACGTTATATTTCAGAGATGTTTGTTTTCCGTAATATTTAGAATTTAGGATTTAAGAGAGATCAACATCAACATGGCTAAAGGAAAAGATATGGTGTGAGGTCACATGCTTAAATGATGTCCTGATCAAATCACACATTTCTGGACATATTAAATCTTTCCCTGCACCTTTCCATAAGTTAACATAAAGCCGGGCATATACTGTGGGATATTTTCAATCTTTGCACGTAACTACAGATCAAACTGCATCATGAAACTGCAGGGTTTAAAAGTTTACAGCTCACAATGCATGTTCTGACGCTGTGCAGCCTGACACTTTGATGCAACCTTAAGTTGGCTGACAGATTTTCAAACATGTTTGATTTTCCCCCGAACTTACGATTCCTGATCGGGAGGTGATGGTGAGAGGCTGATGACCCCTTGTTACCCCCTGTACACTACACAATGCACGATCAGGCTGTAAGTCAGCCAGATGGCTTAATTTTGCCAAAAGAAAAGATAACCATCATGCACTTCGGTGACAGCCATCCATCTTTCTAACTTTAGTCATAATGTGGTGGTTCGAGAGAATCCTCTTGGGGTACATCCATGGAGCATGCAGAAAGTTTTTAGGTATTCCCATCTGTGACCTCTCATGAACTGGGAATCCCTCCCAACTTAAGAAGTTGAAGCAAGCCAGGCTTTCTTCAAAGCTGCTTATAAACTTTAAAAGGGCCATTAAAAGAATGCTGTGTCTCAGCATTACAGTGGGGAATGGAAGCTGGATAGCACAGCAGAAGAAGGGCTTTGCCTGCGCTGTGCAAACAGCAATGGTGATTGTGGGATACGTTAACCAGATCTGGACTTGGTTTATGCTGCAGTTTTACCTCAGATCCTAACCTCTCTGATAATCCACTGTTTGTCCTACTTCCATCAGGGAGATGGTTTATCAGCATCAAATGTCTGTGTCCTTTCAGCTGCTCCCACATTCAGGGACTGCCACAGCAGGTCAATAAGACCAAGTCTCTTTGCTGGGAGCCCCTTTATGATGCAACCAGGATTTCGACCTCTATTGTCAGACACTAAGATCCCATCCCCCACACAAGAACCCTCCCCCTTACACATACTTCGGCCTTCATGATCCAAACACACGCAGACACACCCACTGACTTCTCTTTGTTACCTTGTGGGGACAGATTAAAACCAGTTTCCTAGTCTACATTTTGGTGACTTGCCATCAGAAAAAGTTATCTTCTTGTGCTTGGAGTCCGGTTTAGGTCTAAGATGGGAATGTAGTTTTGTTTAGAGTCATGCTTAGGTCATACAAATGAATGGAATTCAATGAAAAGTCCACATAAAATAGAGGAACACAAGCACAACCATCTTCACTGACCACCAGCTTATTTAATAGACTTAATAATAATAATAATAATAATAATAATAATAATAATAATAATAATAATAATAGACTAGCTGAACCTTATTTGCATACTTCATTCTACATTTATATGTACACTGTTCTCTTATCAGAGTGTTTAATAGAATATTTTTTTCCTGGCAACATAACGTTGATCATTGATCGTTTCTCAATTCACAAGAATGCGAGTACGGACTCGTTTCCTCACCAAGTATGTTACTGAGAAGAACACAGGAAAGTATGGACTTGGTGAGAACGGACACACGCAACATAGTCGTGACGTCACCACACGCTCGGCTCGTCTGCAGCTGTATTTCACCTACTGTTATTAATAGTCTCTTGATAATAATAAATTCCTACTTTTTTCATTAAGTAGGGAAATAAAAAATAAACACAATAAGATAAACACAAATCAAATGAACCATTTTAATAGAACAAAAAAATCTCTATCAGAGCCAGCGGTACTTCACACAGGGCTATACAGAGAGAGGGCTGCTGCAGACGGGCTGCGGTTAGCCCTGGCTGCCGCTACCCTTGGAGGTCTGCTGGTTGCTGCGGTCCTCTCAACTTCAGAATTTGTTTTTTTTTAATTACGCATTAAATCAGTAGATGGGCCAAATAGTGACGCTTAAAAGTATAATGTTCTCGCCTAAAAAGGATCTTAAAATGTACTTTATTGAACAACTGTAACAGAAAAGAGAACTTTTTACTTAATACTCTGAGCTTTGTGAGTGCTCCATTGAAAGCTGCTGCTGCTGTGATGCATGCTGGGACAGCCGTCAATCTCAAGAATGGACAAGTCTGTTCTGATGCATACTTTTTTAAATAGGGAGGGACACGAACAACATATGGGGACTTTGACCGTTCTTGGTCTGCTGTTCTTGGAAGTGGAACAAGTACACATATTGAGAAATGGTCATTATGTGTGCCTTCTGATGTTGTTAGGGTCTCATAATGACAAAAAGATTCTTGATTTTAAATACTTTAAATTGATTTGGTTTAAAAATCTTTATACTTTAAACCGCATCTGTCAAAAAGAACATTAACACCAAATAAAGTAACGCTGTGGTCTCGTTTGGTCTACTTTCTTACTGTAACAGCTGATGGTGAATATCAGAAATATTTCAGTGAATCACAAACCATGTTTGCTGACCTCTCTGTTTACTTCCTCTCATCCTGTAGGAGAAACGATGCGTATAGCCTCATCCGAGTTTGCTGATGACCCTTGCTCCTCTGTGAAACGTGGCACCATGGTGAGGGCTGCTCGCGCCTTGCTATCTGCTGTCACCCGCCTGCTCATCCTCGCTGATATGGCTGACGTCATGAGGCTGCTGGCCCACCTTAAGATTGTAAGTGCAATTAGATCTGTGGGATCTGAATTCATCTTAAACTAAGCTTCGGTTAACGCTTTGACCCTGTAACCTTGTCATTAGATGCTGGTCAAGCTGTATTAAAATTGCACGCTCACTTCCACTCACAGAGACCCTATGCTCTGTGATCCTATGCAGAGGGTGGTTTTTGACTCATATGCTGAGTGTTTCATGAGCTAATGAGATCATTTTGCAGGAAAATACACAGACATGCGCATGCACACACAAAATATATAACGGCTTTTATCACAGTCACACATATTAGCATATAAATGAGACATAAGGGAGAATACGTAAATGAGGCATCATCTAAATAGCTTTGAAATAATGAACTACATTCAGTTTAATCGTTTAAAAACTTGGACATTTATTTTTACAGTAGCTTGGGGCTTGGTAGGAGAAAAAATACTGAATGTTTAAGATACCAGCAGGTTTTTGATATGATCTGAGATGCTCATCCATGCAGCCATATGCAGTCCCCCAGTTTATCACCCATACAGATGAGCACTTATAGCCCCTCTTTCTTTCTTTAGGTTGCCCATATTTTGGATTCACAGAGTTAATTTGGACATTTGTAAAAACATATCATTAAAGTCACCTTTAATGGTAGGATTTACTGTAAAACAAATGTGTTTGTTCCTCTTAAATCTTTGCACATTTTTCACGTTACATACATGCATTTCAAACAGCCACTATTTATTCCATTGACTAAACGAATTAAAATGCCCTTTGGAGGCACCTAATTGGTGAAAAGAGTTCACCTTTGCGTAATTAGAGCTCATGATGAATCCTGTTGTTCTTTTACGGCGTTAGAGGTTTGCTAGAGAAAAATAGTGCATAAGCAGCATTGTAAAGACTAACGAAACAGCAGACAGAGCAATGACAAAGTTCTGAAAATGTTTAATATGTCATGCTTCTGACATCACAGACTACATTTTAGTCTAACATCTAAAGATAGAAAGGGGATGACTCGTCAAGAAAACTACTGAGACCTGGCCACCTACCCAAGAAAGCCACAGTAATCATCAGCTCAGCTCGGACAGATCAGTTGTGGACTCTAGAAACTGTGCTTTAATGAAGAGTGTCAGAAAAATTTACGTATGAAATAAAGCAATGAGAATTTTCAAGTTTCTCCAGATTGGGAGAGAAAGTTTGTTTTTATTGATCAGGCATACCAAGATATCCACTAACGGCGAAGGTGAGAAATAGTGATCATCTAGTTACCAAGGCCCATGTTAGTGGATTGGTTGTATTTTGTCTTCAAAGATGGACTTTTGATTCAGTGCAAATTCCTTGGGGTGTTTATGATCTCTATTTACTGAACAGTGATGAATGAATGCGACCTGGGCATCCTGGGATTTTGAAAAGATCCGATTCGTACTTGATTCAGGACCACATAGCCAAGTGGCCTGGGTCGCATCGGAAAAAAATTGGATCTGTGTTGTTCAGACTGTCATGAAAAGATCAGATACAGGTCACATATGGGCTAAAAAATTGGATTTGGGTCACTTCAGGCTGCAGTGTGAACGTAACCTTACTCATAATTTGAAGTGCTGTTTTAAGAGCAGAAAAGGGACTAATACAACATTAAGCTGGTGGTCATAGAATTAGCATATACACATCTTTACTGTTTCGCCTGTATGCAAAGTTCCACTGAAAGTCTGACACTGTATGTCCTATTAAACACATCACCCACATGGTGAAAATTAGTAATGGCAGCATCATGCTGTGGGGATGCTTTTCTTCAGAAGGGATAGGGAAACTTGTTAATGTTTATGGGAGGATTGAAATACAACAAAACATAAACAGCAAACTGGATACCAAAACAAACCTCCAGAATTACAGGTGCTGGTCATAAAATTAGAATATCATGAAAAAGTAGATTGATTTCAGTAATTCCATTTAAAAAGTGAAACTTGTATATTATATTCATACATTACATACAAACTCATATATTTCAGATGTTTATTTTGTTTAATTTTGATGATTACAAATGACAACAAATGAAAATCTCAAATTCATCATATCAGAAAATTAGAATATTACTGAAGACCAATAAATACAAAGGATTTATAGAAATGTTGGCCAACTGAAAAGTATGAACATGAAAAGTATGAGCATGTACAGCACTCAGTATTTAGTTGGGCCTCCTTTGGCCTGTATTACTGCAGCAATGCGGCGTGGCATGGAGTCGATAAGTCTGTGGCACTGCTCAGGTGTTATGATAGCCCAGGTTGCTCTAATAGTGGCTTTTAGCTCTTCTGAATTGTTGGGTCTGGTGTATTGCATCTTCTTCTTCACAATACCCCATAGATTTTCTATGGGGTTAAGGTCAGGAGAGTTTGCTGGCCAATTAAGAACAGGGATACCATGGTCCTTCAACCAGGTACTGGTAGCTTTGGCACTGTGTGCAGGTGCCAAGTCCTGTTGGAAAATGAAATCTGCATCTCCAAAAAGTTGGTCAGCTGCAGGAAGCATGAAGTGCTCTAAAACTTCCTGGTATGTGGCTGCGTTGACCCTGGACCTCAGAAAACACAATGGACCAACACCAGCAGATGACATGGCACCCCAAACCATCACTGACTGTGGAAACTTTACACTGGACTTCAAGCAACGTGGATGAAGTGCCTCTCTTCTTTTCCTCCAGACTCTGGGACCTTGATTTCCAAAGGAAATGCAAAATTTACTTTCATCAGAGAACATGACTTTGGACCACTCACCAGCAGTCCAGTCCTGTTTCTCTTTAGCCCAGGCAAGACGCTTCTGACGCTGTCTGTGGTTCAAGAGTGGCTTGACACAAGGAATGCGACAGCAGAAACCCATGTCTTTCATACGTCTGTGTGTGGTGGTTCTTGAAGCACTCACTCCAGCTGCAGTCCACTCTTTGTGAATCTCCCCCACATTTTTGAATGGGTTTTGTTTCACAATCCTCTCCAGGGTGCGGTTATCTCTCTTGCTTGTACACTTTTTTCGACCACATCTTTTCCTTCCCTTCGCCTCTCTATTAATGTGCTTGGACACTGAGCTCTGTGAACAGCCAGCCTCTTTAGCGATGACCTTTTGTGTCTTGCCCTCCTTGTGCAAGGTGTCGATGGTCGTCTTTTGGACAACTGTCAAGTCAGCAGTCTTCCCCATGATTGTGTAGCCTATAGAACTAGACTGAAAGACCATTTAAAGGCTTTTGCAGGTGGTTTGAGTTAATTAGCTGATTAGAGTGTGGCACCAGGGGCCATCAATTTTGAACCTTTTCACAATATTCTAATTTTCTGATATGATGAATTTGAGATTTTCATTTGTTGTCATTTGTAATCATCAAAATTAAACAAAATAAACATCTGAAATATATGAGTTTGTATGTAATGTATGAATATAATATACAAGTTTCACTTTTTAAATGGAATTACTGAAATCAATCTACTTTTTCATGATATTCTAATTTTATGACCAGCACCTGTAGATCTAAATCCAATGATCAATTTGTGTAGAGATTAAAGACTTCAACTGATGAACACTTAGGCAAAAACAAAATGTACGTTTCTAGGAGGGAAAAGCTGCACCAGACCTCCTCCCAAAGACTTTTAACTGCAGTTACATAACATCACAGAAAAATGCATTGAAGTTCAAGGTTCTAATATGATGAAATGTGAAAAACTTTAAAATGGCTCTGAATTCTTCTGTAAGCTAAGTTATGAGCCTGTTAGAAAGTTTGATTACTAATTTCAATACATTTTCTGCATCTTTATGAGGGGAAAAAGAACTTTTATATTGAAATATGCCAACAAAATAACTAAGGATGATTAAACTGAAACAGCTTCACTTTTTTGTTGTTTTAAAGTCTTATTTCCAGTTGTAGCAAATGTAGTTTTTTTTGCCTGTTGTTTATTATGTTTTTTAAAGGTTTTGAGTGCAGTTCTTTGTTTGTGTCGATGACAGGTTGAGGAGGCGCTGGAGGGAGTAAAGAATGCTACCAACGAGCAGGACCTAGCAAACCGCTTCAAAGAGTTTGGAAAAGAGATGGTGAAGCTTAACTATGTGGCGGCTCGGAGACAGCAGGTAACTACAAATCTCCAGTGTCATGCTGACTTCTTTAGAAATTCACAAGAAAGGCATGGAAATTACATAATCCAACTAGTCCTTCCTACCTTTTTTAGAGAACCCAAAAAGTTATTTTCTCACCTCTTTTCAAAAATAGTTGGATAATTTAGTTTCTTTATAAAAGATGGTTCAGAGGCTTATTTTCCTATTTATGGTGGTATCTTTTAATGGATCTAGTCAAGTGCTGTGAAATCTGTACACCTGTACTCCATTGCTGGACTCAGATGAAATCTACTTTGACTGAGAAATCAGATTGTGCCTGAAAAGAACCACTTAGAGTATTTGAATGTAGTCACTATTGTGACTGGAAGTTTCTAGAGGTTATTTCTAATAGAGGTCATGCTGGTAAGCCACTCTGCTGCCAAGCTGTCCAGAGCAAAGCTCTGAATTGCATTCATTCCAGCCTCACAGCTGCCAATCTGCTGACACTGCTTCAGCTTTATGTGTTTGGAATAATACCAGTTCATCAAATGGGACCACAACCTTTTTTTTGTCCTTTAACAGAAAATAATAATAATTCCACATGAAAATAATTATTTTCATGTGAATTTACTAGGCTTTCACCACATATCCCTTTGAGAGATTTAAAGTATTTTGGAGTCATTTTCTTCTACCCACTTTCAGTGCATTTGTATTCATTTTTGAAAGAATGATGACAATGTTTTATTGATGATGCTCACTGTTGTCACCTCCTTAGGAGCTGAAAGACCCTCAGTGTCGGGATGAGATGGCAGCCGCTCGTGGAGCTCTTAAGAAAAATGCCACTATGCTGTACACAGCCTCTCAGGCCTTCCTGCGCCACCCAGACGTGGCAGCCACACGTGCCAACCGGGACTACGTGTTTAAGCAGGTCCAGGAGGCCATAGGAGGCATTTCCAGCTCTGCACAGGCCACCTCACCCACTGATGAGAAGCATGGTCATGCTGGAATCGGAGAACTGGCGGCTGCCCTCAATGAGTTTGATGTGAGTTTCTTTTCTTCATTAAAGATGCTTCACTTAGTGCATGGGTAGTTGGTCTAGATGATGCACACCATGGCCTTTTTAAAGACAGGACTAAAAAAATATCCTATGTGTGAAAGCACTGTGGCAATATCACTTTTACCTAAATTTGTACGACATCCACAACTCTTATCCAGAGATAACATATAAATATCCTATCTGTAACTGTAGTATTTTTGTCAAATATAATCCATATTTATCTGTGTGATTAAATTTGCCCTACTTTTCTTTTTGAAACTTTTGGACTAAGCAGATTAAGTTTGTGCTCAGGCAGAGCCTTTTCAAACATTATTCTCTGCTGCCCTCTAGTGGTTGGTTACTGACAGCGAGAGTGACTACAGCTCTTTTGCGATAGCCACTGTGTTAAGTAGTGGCTTGCAGAAACAAGGAAAACAGAAAAAAGGCCCATCTCTTTTGATAGAATCCTGATTTATAATCAGACCAGTTGATGCCCATCTTTTTTTATTATTAGTAAAGAGATCGTTTCCCCAAAAGAGTGATTTATCTAACTGTTAAAACATTTTGAAGAGCATTGCTCTTCCATGGAGCTCATATGTTATGATTAGATATCTCCTACTAAAAGGTATTCTTCCTTCCAAGTCCAAGTCATTTGAATAACAGGAAACCATCAAGCATGTTTTATCTCATCAGAGCACATGTTCCCTCATATTTGCTGTTTCCCCTGCATGAGTTGCAAGCTGCAAACAGGACTTTATCCCTGCATTTCTAATACCGTAATGACTTTCTTGCTGTTACTCTTATATTCTTCCACTTGGGTACTCTGTGGTGTTTTAGCACATATAATTCCAATAAAAGCAACTGAGGTTTATAATGGACAAAATGTGAAAAAGGTTTAACTTGTATTATTACTTTTACAAATCATTGTAGATTCTTCTTAGACAACAGTTTTCCTCACAAGGTGAATGAGTCAAGGTCAGCAAAGTGTCTGTTTTACTGTAATTTTTTGTATATAAAATTGACTAGAATACTTTGAACATCTTTTATTTTCTTTCCTTTTAATCAGTGCTAATCTTGTGTTTTAGTTGTGGCTTTCTACCCTTATTGAACCAAAAACTAAAAGCATAGAAGGGAGCTATAATGTAATGTGCTGCAAAATAGCTGAAATATTCATCTGAAGTCTTCCTCATCCTACAACCTGAGGCTTATATGAGCCTAAATAAGTTGTTCTGTTCAATGATATCTCTACTTTTAAACTATAGGTTTAGAAATATGAAACATGGTGCCAGAGTTGGGAATAAATTATATGACCTCAGAGTCCTCACAGATTATGGAAACACTTATTTCTTATAACAGACTAATTCAAAGTAATGTTTTTTTTTTGTTTGTTTCACGGTTGAAAAACTTTGGATTATGTACATCAAACTCAAAAGTTTGACAGGTGATAGTACAGACAATATTCTGACTCTAATGGGAAAAATGTGTTATTCAGAAAGATCAATTATTTCACCTTAAACCCAACTTCATTCCTCTTTATGTTTTAATTGACAGTTTTTATTGTAAAAACATTCTCATTTTATGTGCAATATTTGAAATGCTTAATTTTTTAGTAAGTCACTGTAGTATTCACTTAATTTTTAGATATCTCAGACTCAATCTTCTTTATTTGCATATTTGCATTATGCCCACCGTTTTTTATCTTTATATTTTAACTGTTGCAGATATCATTATATATTGAGTAATGAAGAAAAAAAATACCTAAAGCTCATAGTTGATGGTGTTTCCTTGTCTTAATTTTCAAAATAAAACTGATGAATAAAAATACTTTTACATTTTTAAAATTGGGGTAATTTTTTTGTATTTAAAAAGCAAAAAAAAACGAATAAACCAGACCACATTTTCTTTTTCTTCTCCAAGACTGTTCAATTTGTAAAGTAATTAAAATGACAAATAAAAAATGTCCAGGTCCAGGATTAAGAAGCTTAATATTTAGATGAAGCTAAATTAAGTGTGGCTCGAGTTCAATAGTCAGCTAAAACTGTTTCTGAGGCTGGTGGTCTTACTCTAGATGCAGGATGGATGGAGTCCTATATAATGGGGTGCTCCCTCTCTCCAACATCGCAATGTGTAGAGGTCAAAGGTGAAGTGAAGGCTGCTCCTTATAGTCCTCTGAGTAGCCTTTAACAACCCACTGTAGAGCCATCCTACCAGTAGCAGTGCAGCTGTCGTGCTACAAGGTGCAGAAGAAACCCTCCACAACACAGCGGTAAAAATTCCTGAAGGCTGAGCTCCCAAATTGAAGAAAGTAAAGACACTGATGGGTTTCCCTGATCAGACACAAAGCGTAGGCACTCCTGGTGCGGTCACTGGATAAATGCATGACCAGGTACAGGTAGCTGGAGATCGCTTCCCTAATTGCCCATCTAAAGTACAGGGGATGAAGAGGTTAGAAACAAAAAGCAGGTTCCTCTTAGTTTCCTCTTTAGTTCTGTCACACATCTTGAGGAAGGAATAATGGATTCTCCGTTTGGATGAGATTTTAGCAGTTGAATTTATTATTAAGAGTATGCAGCTTTGACTTTGAAATGAAAAAAACATTTCTGTCATAGCAATAACATTTTCAAGGTGGACATTATAAAGTGCTCACTTTTTGCTTAGACATCTTTCGAAAAAGAAATGTAAAACTTTATTTTAACTATCATTTAAATTGATCTTAATTATCACTTAATTTTAGTGACAAAATGAGCAGCCTTGGAGAAGAAAATGAAAATGCAGTTTAGATGATCGGTTGGTAATTTTATGTATGAGTCGAAAAAATATTTCTTTAGCTTTTAAATGCAATTTTTTTTTCTGATATTGTCATTTTAACGTACAAATTTGATATTTCAAAATATATTTAGGTCAAGTTTTCTTGTGACATATCGTAAAAATGAAATATAAATTGTTCTATTTGAATTTATTTCAAATTGAGCAGTCTCTAGACATAAAGTAAAAATAGTTTAAATGATTTATTTTACATTTTACGTACAACTCATCAATTGCAGTATTTGTTTTCAAACTGAAAAAGCATTTTAAATAACCTTTTTTAATAAAAACAAAACAGGAGACATTTTGCTTTCAGAGATTCCCAATCTGTCTTTTATTGGTTGTTAAAAAGTTTCCCCTCTCAGACTGCATCAGGACGTTGTTAAAACAACTCAGGTCTGTTCCCCTATCAGACTTGCTCCAGTCTTGGCTCCATCTCAGGCTAACAGACGTTTGGGTCAACACTTCCTGCCGGCCCCAAACTGCCACACAGCGATGGAGACTTTTTCCTGCTGGGAATGGAAGATACAAAAACAGAAATTTGTGTTATGTTCCAAGCATAACATGTTGAAGAGTTAATTTGTTCTTATTTACTTATTAGTTTTTAAAAGATCCTAAATAATTTTGTGGGTATTGTTCTTCTAGCTAGGGGGGTATAAAACCTGCTTATTGCACAAAGGTTTGACCTTTAGAGAAATTAAATGTTTTCTGATTTGATTTAACTGCCTAATCAAACAAGTGCTGTTCTTTTATTCAGTCCTGATGTTTGTTTTTTGTTTTCATATTTAATGAACAGCAAAAAATGTGTTCATACCACCCTGTTAAATAATGAAGCCAATTCATCCTTGCTTCATATCTCCCCAACACCTTTTTTATTTTGCATCCAGTAAACAAACCATCCATACCCATATTGTGCATTCATTGTTTGCGGGTTTATTTTTTTATTTAGCTTAAGTACGTGCACCATTTTGGAGATTATTATTCAACACATTTTATTTATACTGGTTGGGTCCATTAATTCTTATAATATGTATAATATCTAAGCAACCTCCTCTTGGTACAGTAGTTGTTTATTTTCTTTTTCTCATAACAGCCATATACCACAGAATTAAATATGAATAGATTTTTATAATGTATTGCATAATCAGTGTCAACAATGTCTGATGTTTAATGGCACCAATTATAAAAGTTTGGCACAAAAAGACTAAAAGCAAAGATAAAAGAAAGACAGATATGCATAGCAACTCACCATTCAAGTTTAATGATCAGTTTAACCATAATGAATAATAAACAGCCTTATTTTCTTCCTTTACCATTTCCACTGTTCCAGTTTCTCGCTCTCTTCTTTGCCTGTATTATCTGCAGCACATTGCCGCAGAGTTCATATTTCTTTTCTGTCGCTGAGTCTAAATGGAGAAAGATTCTGTAGAGGTTGTTTAGCGGATATTAGCTGTGCAGTCTTTTTATATTCTGTGCAGAGGAAACACTTTGCAGGGGGGCGAAAAAATGTAACATTTACAAATTAAGATTTTACATCCTATTTTGAGCTGTTTCTACTTTTTTGTCTTTTTTAAAAGGATACATTAATAGATCTAAAAGTATTCCATTGTGCTTGTGGAAAAGCAGTTGTTAAATGAAAGAAATTGCCCTGTGCTATGCCCTCTGTGCTCGCTTGAAGCTGGTGCATTCTTAATTCTTAACTCACCACAAAAACAGACTATGGTTAGATCTCAGAATACTAATAAAATGATATACTGAGTTATGAGACATAGCCTTTGTGGCCTTATTTAGTCTGTGTGCATGGCTTTGCATTGGCCCTAATTTTGTTCCATCAGTTTCATCTTTGTTTATTGACTAAATGCATGCATACATGCAAACACGTTTTTCTCTGTCTGTGTTTGCTCATTTAGCAGCTATGCACTCTGCTCTATTATTCCATGTCCTGCTGAGTTCAAGGTGGTGTCTTGGTTTTTTTTTTTTCAGATGATTCTTTGACTGTTTATTGTCCTGATGTAAGAATCCAGACTCTGTTAAACACCTAAGTTTGTTCTTCTATCTCTATTAGGACTTTACCACGACTTACATTCATTTTAGTTACTGCATGTATGCTAAACCTTAACAATCATCAATATATCCCTAAATTTAACCTAACATGAATTCACACCATAGATCCAAACTGACTCTAATATAAAATATTGGTG